CAAAGCTACCTTTTACATAAAACTCATTACACTTCATTTTTAGAAAATATTATGACACTGCTTAGTTTCTCTAGCTGGTTTCCATGCAAATAATCTTCTGAGGAATGCTTGGAAAATGTTACCTTCCTGAAGCTGCTGAACTGAAACTCCAGTCATTCCTAGCCAGCATAAAACAATGGCAAGGGACAACATGATTTGCAGTACCAAGAGGTCATACCTCCTCCAAGATCTCCTTGGCATTTACAAGTAACCCAAAACTTACACATTTTCATTCTTTGTTGTCATATAAAGACTTCCACAACAGGCTACCTATCTACCCTCAGCTGAAAATCATTGAGTGACGTATCTGTGGAGGGCAGTTATGATGCTGTGCTCATTCTGAATAGAAAGGTGGAAAATAAGGGAGATTTTCAGTCGGCTGTGGTGTTCTCTCTTTGGTCTCATTCTACTTGCCAACATGTAAAGATCTGAATGTTTTTCCTTTGGTGTACCACTTCCACTATACTTCGATTTACAAATTACATTCAGGTATATCAAAGTCTTGAAAATGGTCAGACATGTACTGCATGTGGTTGAATTAGAAACTTCATTATTGAGACTTTTTTAATGTTACTCTTTCAGTTTTTTAAAAATCCATACCATTAAGAACATGCAAAAGTGTATCCCATATTTTCAAGAGGACTTTGAGATTATTAAAAAAATACTCCATTTGAAAGATTCTTCCTTTTCTAATTTAATAGAAATAACCAAAACAAAGTGGTTTTCAAAACAATGCTTTTTAAAACTGTTCTAGTACAACTGCTACACCACATTCCAGAGCATTTAACAAGAAATATTTACAGGCTGCTAAATGTATTAAATAAACATGTAAAGGAAAAAATGCCTTTATTACACACCAGCCAAACACACAAGAACTGAACAATTAGAAACGTTAACTTGTTAAAAAAATTAAATATTAATCAGAGAATACAATACCACAGAAACAGCACTTTTTTTGAAGAATCAGTAAAGTTAACTATGTGCAAAAAGTACCAGTTTTAGTTACCAGAAAGAAAGACGGTTCGGGAATTGAACCTTTTGATTTGTATGTCTACATATAAAATTAAAACAGGCTTTAAATTGCACAAATCTTTATAGACCTGTTATATACACATTTAATGGCATTTTGAATCAAATAAATGCCTACATCTGCAGGCCTTTAACATGCATCACCTTTTATTCTGAAGCTTAAGTTTACACTAAAGGGAATGCTGAAATAATGTATTCTATAAAATTCTTTGCATTTTCTTGTACAAAGTCACAAATCATTTTAAAAGAAAGCAGCTGCTCCCCAGCTTTAAAAAGCACGCAAGAGGCAGACTGTATTTTGTTATTGTAAATCAGCTACTTAATTAACAACCTAAATTCCATTTTTTCCAAACTATTTTGACTGAAATATTTTAAAAGAAGTAGAAGTAGGCATAACTGACAGAAAAGTTACAATGGATGGAGTTACTGCATATGCAACTTTGAAAAGGAAAAGTGGTGACCACATCTGACATCTTAAGTCTTATGCATTAGCCTGAAATATGTCTATGTAAATTGTGGCATATAAAGTTTTTAAAAAAGTACCTTCGTTATTTACTCAAACACCTACTTTTAAAAAAATATGTTAACTTTCCCCAATTTTTAAAATAAAATGCCACACTATAACTGCACACTTTATTTTTTAAAAGCTAGACTTGGTGATACACACACAAAAACAATCCTATAAAATCACTATCTAAAGAAAAAGGATTCCTGCCATGCTAAACAGGCAACAGATAAAGCAGTTTTATTGCTTTTTCCTAGAGGGAGGAGGAAAAAGGGGGGAAAAAGCCTACATCCAGAACACTACATACTCAATTTCAACATATTGTTGCCATTGCCTATACTTAAATAGGACAGGCTAAAAAATTTAAATGCAACAGAATGGCAAATTGGGGTGATTTCTTCAAAAATATATGTTGGTTGCAGTGGCTCGCTGAAATGTTTATAAAACATTCCACTCATCTAGTGCTGAGTATACTGACAATCAATGCCACATCAAATAGTATTAATGGGAATCTTTTCACATGAAAAAGGCTATCTACATTTCTACTTTTAAAAGCTAGGGGAAAACACCCTTTTTTGGGATAGTAATTCAGCCTTAATAGTATATGTTAGGACACTTAATTCCAGGGCACAGTTAAGTAAGACCTGAACAAACTTAGCTGGTTAAACTAACACTAATCACTAGTAATTACATGGCAGGGTACCTGCTGAGGTAATTGAGAAGTCCACAGTCAGCACGCTGTACACTTGTCGTCCTTCCTGTTTCAAAGCAAAACTGCCTTTTATCTTTGGATTAACTCAAATTTTCAGAACTTACATAACCAAGAAGAGAACTGAAGTTTTTTTTTCTTTTGATTTTACAAGAACACTTAGAATCAGAGCTTAAAATTCAAATCAAGTGACAGAGTATGTTGGGATCACTTTAAACATAAGTTACATTGTAATTTATGCAGCACAGATAAATCCATGTCACATGCAAAGAAAGCTCCACTGTCCACTACAAACCTGGTATCTAATTTAAAGTATGTTCTCTATCCCAGTATAGCTCAATCATTGCACAAGATAGCAAAATAGTGGCTGCTTCTAAAAGTACAGGTGGCAGAGTAGTTATTCTGCCTGAATACAATTTGTTAACATTGTGAGAATGTGTGTAACCTGAAAAGGTCCCACAAAGTATATATGTGTAGCTCCTGTATTGTTTAGAAACAGAACCCCTTGCAATTTGTACAATTGGTCTAGAATTTCTGAATATTTACTACATTTCAGGTGAAGACAATCACATGGGAAAAGCAACCAAAAATCAACTTATTGGAAGGATATTTATTTATTTTGTTGTCGCTGTTGTTTTCAAAAAGCATCCTTATGAGAACATGACAATTTTCTCTCCTTTTACAATGATGTCTGCAAAGTTGTAATGCTGTAAAAATAAAAACCAAAGTCCAGAGGTTAACTGTCACAGAGGGAGATCCTGCATGTAATTTGGTTAAATGGCTCAGAAGAATAGATACCTTTATAGGTAGCATGGAAAGGAGGAATTAGCCTAACAAGATAACATAAAATTAAGTTGACAAGAATGCAGCTTTCAGGTCATATGGAAAACTAGGTTATAAAATGTTCTTCAAAGTACAGAAAACAGAAGGTCAGAATATTAAGGAAACTATACTACTTCAAAACTCATGGGACATATTCTCCCACTGAGATTAAAAAAATATGATGCACAATCACATTAAAATCCCACCCAATATTTAATTAAGGATTTTGTCCTGCATTTTTCTACTGACATTCAGTAAGTTACCCAAAATGTCAGCTATATGTTCATATACAAGAAAGCCAACAGATTAAAAGCAGGAAGAAATTCTTAGTTCATAATGCCATTCCTTCAAACTGGGCTGCACTGAAGATCTATATACAAGACTTTTCTAGCTTCACAATCCCATCTCTTCATACTGTGGTTGTGCAGATGTGCAATAATCCCCTATATTTCAAAACAGCATAGCCCACACTCAGTGTTGTCTTCTCTTAGGAAGGAAAACGTGTCCCCAAAACTTTCTTCTACTGTTACTATGTTGACTTTCCATTTGAAAAAGTAATAACTGACAATTACGGCAACTATCCAGTATATTCAAATATAAACAATTTAGAATTACTTCATCTGCTAGATAAAACTTATTGAGAACATTTTATAAATCCTCAAATACTCTAAGTGCCATGCTAAAGATGGATGTAAGAAAGTGAATCCGAGCCATAAATATCTTTACCCACTTTTCACACCACAGGACTAGCTATTTTCTATCTGCACCTTTCGTCTTGTCTGCATAGAGAAAATGAGAACAGGCATTTGTATGAGAACTTTGTAGAGCATCACTGGGACAATACATTGTGCAACAGAAACTATTCATTTCTACAGTAGAGACCAATTACATTTCTCTGTACACTGTGAACTATTGGCCATGATGAATTATATTCATGCCACAGCAAAATTCACTGTTTGGTCACTTTAGTGTGGGTTGCTTTTTTTTAACTGTTGTAACAATAAAAATTTTCTGTACAAGGGTCCAAAACCTGCATCATCAGGTGCTAGTCAAAATTGACTAGCACCTGATAGCAAGCAAATATAGCTTTATAGCTATATTTATCTTTATAACAAGCAAATAAAGAACACCTGTTTAACACTGAATTACAATAATGCAGAGCTATTTCTGCTCTCAATGTTGCCATCAAAACAGAGTTAAAGAGCTTGCTTACATGCAGATTATCACAACGAGACTAGCCTGTTTTCATTATCTACCCTGAAATCACTTGTCCGATAAACTGCTCCATGCACTTTTTCTATTTTAAGGATGGACAAGTAACTCAGTCTCTGGGGCTCAATTTTCCTCTCTTAGGCATTTCATTTAAGCTGCTTCTGAAGGAAACTGAGTAGTTCTAACAAAATAATACAGAACCTCAAACTAGGAACAGTTTTTAGAAACAGAGCATATTACAAATCTGTCCTTGATTAGGGACATTAGTAAGAATACATATTAGCTTAAAAACAGCCCAGCAAATGTTGCTGTCTCAAAGGATTTACAGTACCATTATTTACAAATAAGACAGAGTGAATACAGGAAATTTTACACATTTGGTAGTTGACAAAACTACAGTTTGCTGATAGTGCTCTATCAGAAACATTACTAGGGAAGACTGGACAGTCACCAGTTCTCAATATTATAGTCTAATTCTGAAAGTTCTAAAATCTATGTAACTTGTTTTGCAGCTACCATCCTGCCTTTTAAAGGGAGAAGAACAGGATTAATAAATTCCAAGAGGATACTCATTTAAGTGTTCTGTGCATAGGACTTCCACGCAACGCCATGAATCCTACTGAAAAGCATTAATTGCAACCAGACTTAATGAGGAACATATGAAGAAATCTCACTTCTGCATTCTCCAATTCAAAATGATTTAATGATCAAGTTACAGTATTTCTACACAAGGTCAGCAAAAGAAAGCAGAAGCTAGCTATTTGACCCAACACAGAATATGATATTTGCAATATCACTTAGATGAAACGATGAATAAAACAATCCAATTCACACTTAGGGGTGCATGAAGAGGATCTTGAGGAAGGTTTCTTGCAGTGTAAACTGCAGCCCAGTACGAAAGCAAAATATGACGGCCTTGGTCCACTCTTGCAAAAACAATTACTATGTAGTGATGAGAGTTCACTGTTTGTACAAATGTCATCTTATAAAAACTTGCTTCTTTATCAGTATTCACCCCACACCTCTGCATATGAGAAATGAGGGAATGACAAATGAAAAGCAAAACACTAAAAAACCAAAACACAAAATCAAGAACAGAAGTTGAAAGCTTTTTCCCCTTTTGACAAGAATGTTTCTGTACAAATGCTTTTTGCAATCTAATACTGTCTGAACACTATCAGCTTCAATAAGATGGCCACTGAAGGCATGATAATATTCCAGGAACACTTAAATATGTTTCTTTTTTACAATAGTTTAGGTCCATTTTAAACAGATTATTTTATATGCACTGGTCTCTCATCTGATTTTAGACGTTTTCTACGTGGCTGTATAAAATCTTCATCGGCGTCATCTGTCATTTCAGCTTCATCCTCTTCCTGTTCAAATTCAGGTAAAGGTTGGAAGGTCCTGTCTGGGTAGATCTCTGTAAGTTTATCTTCAAAGTATAAGGCAACTGCCTTCCCTGCCTGTGCTACTTCAGAATCAGCCTGCAAAGTAAAAAGATAGCAACATTCACCCATTGGCAATGCACATCCTTTCAGCAAGTGTGCATGGTCTGAAACGCTTACCTTCAAATTAATCTCTTGTGTTTCTGCATAAACTTGAACAACTTTCATCATCTAAAAAGGATACCAGAGTCAAAAAAAAGGAAATTATAATCCCTTCTAAAGTCATGAGACCGCACAGGATTGGATGACTTACAGTCAGCCATACCAATTTATTTTTTTAAAAAATTCACTGATGTATTATTGTAGTGACTCTTCATAAGGCCTTGTTATTGAATTTGCAGTGTATGAATCTCAAGTTATGATATTGTTGCAGAAACTAATACGATGTACAAGAGGCTACTATAATTAGAAATGTAGCAAACCAAACTACAAGCTGTGTCATAAATGGTGGGCAGCCATTTCCTCCAGTATTATTTACAATAAAGAACTCACTGTTTTCCTGTAGGGGCTTTTCTCACTTTGGTGGCCTCAACAGAACATCTTGAATATAGAACATAGGCCTGATTTTGTTGTAAATGTATCTATTGTTCCAAGAAAAGATGGAAGTATCCATCACTGATTTTGCTTCCTAGCCTAATAATAGCTGCATCTATCCCTCCTTAAGATCGACAGAACTTTGTTAGTTCACAGTGAATGGATTATCTATTACAGTACTTCAAACCAGCATGCTTTGAGAAACATAACTCTTCCACCTCACCTGTTAAAACTTAATTTAAAATGTTGAGCCTGAACTGTTTTCAAACAGTTTATCATGTGTACAGTGACTTATTCCTTTTTGGTATTAAAATATTTTACCCTTCTTATATCTTAAAATAAAAAGAGAACATACAATATGTAATTGTTCCAAAAAAACCTCTGGTGAGGAAATAAATACTATTTAATATACCTTAAAACAAGTGAAACTATGAAGTGAAGAGCATCATGAAGATCTGTCCCATTCCCTTCACGCCACAAACATCCATGAAAAAGGAATTCAATGCTATATACTACTATCCCTGAAATCACCAGGACTTGCTTCTCGTTAAGCACACGTCACTCTGCTATAAATCTGCTTTTGGAACAAACTGTTTTAAAATTGAAGGTGACAGAACAGGGGTCTAGACAGTCATATAGACATAATGAAATCAATGCGATTTGTAAACCTTGATGAACAAGCTGCATTTCTTTCAACTGGTCTACTTAAAGTATAAAGGCCACATTATTTGTGTTTTTTTAAAAACCTCTGTATATAAAAGGCCCAGAAGCAGGAAACCTCCCACGTTCATTTTAAGTTTCTGATTAAATTAAGCTATAGGCTCTATTTGGGGTTTACATTAATACTGATCTACAGAGTTTATATTCATATTGATGATCTATGTCTCTTTTCTACATGCCTAAATACTTAGTTTTAGGAGGAGAGAACGTTATTTGGATTGTGCTGAAGCAGTTAAGATAGGCTTTATTTATTTTTTTCTTCAATTAATATAACATCTCATTAGTGTAAGCTTTGCAATTAGGAATATGAGCAAAGCTTTCAATTATAAACAAAATCCATCCGACTATTTTTTTAAATGAAGGGCTTTTAAGCTATTTAGTTTTTTTAGTTATTTTGGGGATCCGAGGGCAAGTGAGAGCAGCCTTGTCAGATTAGACAGAAGGTCCATCTATGGCCTGTATCATAATTTACACAGTGGTAGGGCCAACACTAGCAAGATTCTCCAAAGAAGGGAAGAGGGCAATAGTTCACCAGTTGTATATTCTTCTAATCTGGATTCAGAAGTATATTGCCTTATTTCCCTTTCTCTTTTTCTTTTGTGGTTTATTTTTCATATTTTTTTCACCATCTTGAAGAATTGGCTAGTGTGATTTTTTAATATATATTTATTGTCGTATTATGTGTTTCTAAGCTGCCTAGAGTGGTCGCAATGACCAGATAGGCGGGATATAAATATAATGAATGAATGAATGAATGAATAAATGAATGAACGAATGAATGAATGGTGAAGGTTCCATATAAGATGCTACTGATAGCTTTAACCTCTTTAAATTTGTCTAGACATTCTTAAGAAAGGATTTATTCTATATTCCTACTTTTCACAATTCGTGATTTAAAGAGATATAGAAAAAATAGTTTAATTCAAATATATCTGCACTATGTGGATAGATCATATATTTAATTCATTAGTTGTTTCTGATTTTATTAATGATGTTGTATGTTTTATCTTGCTTTTAATGTTTTCCACTTGTCACATAAATCACTTTCACAGGAACTAGTCAACAAGTTCTATCGTTTCTGGTAACTCAGACTGGGCACAATGTGATAGTATGGGGCAGCTTACTCCACTGAACAACCCAAGTGACTTTAAATCATAGCTTGCTATACAGTTATACAATAAATACTACTGTTTTCCCTAGGCTGCCATTCCAATTGAGTGACAGTAGATTTAAAAATAGAATGCTGAAGAAAAAACTGTCATAATTAGATTTATAAATCTCAACTGTCCATAGGGCGGCATATAAATGTACTGTATATTGATGGGGCATGAAAACAAATTTCAACATAATTAAAAGTCTGAATATGAATGGGCTCCTGCATCTACAATTTAATGCAAGTAAGCACCACTCATGTGTGATACACTTTAAAAGATAGTAGCAGTATACATAAGATATTTTGTCCCCATGTCGTTAAGATAGCTGTGTATATAAAAAGGGTTGTTTATATTAAGAGTATTGCACAAAACAGGGGAGCATGTGCTGCAAAACTAAACTTTGTGTCCCAGTGCAAATGATAATAATTTATAGTTTTGTGCCTCTGAACATAGGAATATACTGTACTCTACACTTATCATACACATAAAGCAACTGTGACTCAGATTTGTGTGAAGTTGCAGAATAAGACTGTTGCATTAACAAAAGAAATTCTGCAGCCTGGAAGATTACATACTTCATTAAACCTTTCACAGTTCTTGAAGATCAGCCATACATCTGCCACAAAATCTTCAGGTGTCTGGTAGTGCTGGGAATGCTTCTTTTGTAGTTTCTTTTTTACTGTAGATAAATCCATTGGTTTCTTTATTATTTTATAATAGTTTGGTATCTGTTGAGGGAAAATGCAGTTGTGTTATAAGACAGTAAAATTAAAGCATATCTGAAGTAGTGAAATATTCTCTACTTGGAACTAGCTTTATTTTTATTTTTCCTCCGAAATCTCAGAGAACAGAAGTGCTGATTTGGGGTGTGTCTGTGAAATATATAGACATGATAAGCTCTTCATTCAATCAATTAGTCAAAGGAGTTCATGAACAGATGAACTACTCAGAACTGTGGACTGCAAAATAATATGCATATTGGCTTTAGTCCATGTGTCACAACAGTATGCTTGTTGTTCCTAATTCAGACCCACTGTAAGTTAAAAAAAGTTATTATTTCTAAGGTAATATGAATAAAATGACTCACCGAAGCTGGGACTGGTTCTTGGAATTCAATGCTCAGCTCATGACAATATAGATAAAGCAGGAGGCGCTCACATTTCTTGTAGAGGAAAAATAAATCTAATGAATTTTGTTTCATTCAAAGAGAATGCATTTTACTTAACTAATTTCATATTTACATTGTAATTCTAATGAAAATGAAAAAATATGCTGTCATGTCCATGAATATAAGAATAAGATACTGTACAAAAATAAGATATAAGACAGCCAGAGGGGGGCTGGGTGAGTGGATAAGGTATGGTGAAAAGTCTCCTAGCAGCAAAATAGGATTCTAGCATCTCTAAAGTAGGCAACATTGAGCCCACTGAATCTCTTGAATCCCATAGTCAAACAGACTGTGGTATGTTTCTGAGTTAAAACTTAGAGGCCTTTCCTGGAGGGGCAATCACAGAATGTGGTACTGTTTAATATCTTGGCCATTAGGCTGTGATGTCCCCTTGCCATTTTTGGCTCCTATGCTATTAAACATATACATGACACTGCAGCCAGAGGCTGCCTGGAGTTTTGGAGTTCAATGCCACCAGCAAATAGATGACACACAACTGTACCTCTCCTTTCCACCCACCTTTTAAAGAAGTTGTTACAATTCTAAAACAGTGTGTGCCATCAGTAATGGATTGGATGAGGGCAAACATATTGAAACTTAATCTAGACAAGTCAGAGGTGCCCCTGGTCAACCAAAAGGTAGATCCGAGAATAAGTATTCAACTTTGTGCTGGATGTGGTTACACTCCCCCTTGAAAACCCAGGCTTATAACGACAGCCAGCTTGGACATACTCCTGGACTCATGACTGACTCATCCCTAAGCTTCAAAGCTCAGATCTCAGTGACGGACAGGAGTGTATCTGCTTAATTAAAACTGCTGAACCTGTTGCATCCATTTTTCTAGATTTGTGATTTGACTATGGTGACATTTGCTTTAGTTAAATCCCTTCTGGATTATTATAACACACTACAAGAGGCTGCCTTTTAAAATGGTTCTAAACCTACAAATGGTCCAAAATGCTGCAGCCTAGCTGCTGATCAGGGTTGTTTATAAGGAGCATGTAATAGCTTCACTGGCTGCTGCTCTGTTTCCAGGCTCAATTCAAAATGCTGGTCATGACTTACAAAGCCCTATATGGGCTGAGTCCATATAAAGAGCAGCATCTCTCCATACAAGACTTCTTAGCCTTCTTTTTGGGAGTCAATCCATCTCACACTTGTTCTTCCTCTTTTCCTGCTGCCTTCAACCTTTCCCAGCATTTTTGCCAATTCCAGAGAATCCAACTTCTCATGATATGCTCAAATCAGCACAGCCTCGTTTTCAACATTTTTGCCTCCAGAGATACTTCAGGATTGATTTTATCTAGGAACCACTTGTTTGTCTTTCTGGCAGTCCAGGGTATCAGCAAAGCTCTCCTCCAGCCCCACATTTCTGTCAACTTTCTTAACTGGTCCAGCTTTCACACTCATACATAAGTGATTGGAAGTATGATAGTATGGATAATCTTGTCCTTCATCTGCTGTGATGCACCCTTACATTTGAGGATCTTTTCTAGTTTCTTCATTGCTGCCCTTCTAAATCTCAGCATTCTGAATTCTCGGCTGCTGTCTCCATTTCAATTGATGACTGACCCAAGTTATATAAAATCTCTAAACATTTCAATTTCTTCATTGTTAACATCAACGTTGTGTATTTCCTCTGTAGATATGATTTTAGTCTTCTTGATGTTCAACTGCAGTTCTGCTTTGGCACTTCCTTCTTTCACTTTCACTAAAAGTCATTTCAAGTCATTGTTGCTTTCTACCAATCAGATTGTGTCATTCACATATCTTCAATTATTGATGTTTCTTGCACCAATTTTCATTCCTCATTCATCTGAATCTAGTCTGGCTTTCTGTATGATATGTTCTGCATACAAATACCTCATTTTTATTTTTCATAAGAATTTGCGTGTCCAAGCACACTGCTTCAGATGAGTCGTGTTCTTCGACACATGAAAGCTTATGAAAAACAAAAACAGTCTTAAAGGTTTCTATGAGACCTCTCGTTTCTCTTTTGCTACAATTGACTAACACAGCTACTGTCAGGATTATTTCATATTCAAGTCCTGAGTGCTTAATTTGCCTTGTTTATTCTTGTCCAAATAGTCTTGATTTTAGAAACCTTCACTGTATTCTCAGTCAGCTCTTCAAGTTTAAAACATTTCAACTTCTTGAGGTATGGGTCAGGGAGAAAAAGCTTTTACATGTACAGAAACAAACCAGATACTTTCCGCTGTTCTTTACAAATGAAACTGAGACAGACTCTACCTTTTTTATTCTGAAAAGTCAAGACAGCAGCAAACATGTCTCCCTTTCCACTAAGTATACTCTTCAGATAATTCCATGCAACAAACCAAAGCAGTCAAGTACATGGATGTTATGGAGCAGGGTGGGGTGGGAACACTGTCCAAGTTAGCAAAAACTTTTACTCAAGGTCACATAGTATCCAGGATCCAAAATGACATTTGTGCTGATGAACTGCTTCTATGAACAGAACCAAACTATTCCTGCCTTGTCTCTGCAAATCACTATGCACTTCAAAACCCATTCTGCAGGGTGGAAAGCTCTCTTCAGCTGGTTTTCAGGAAATACAAATGGATGCAGAGGGTGCGTGGGGAAGAAATCTTTTTATGATAATTGCCAAGCACTACTGTGATACAGGATTTAGGCCAGTGCTTGTATATTTTACCAGTTTTTTTTTCTAAAAAGTAAGTTCAAGGGAACTATTAATAATCATTAAAATAAATACTACTCATCAATGAAAGCCAAACCATAAACATTCTAGCTGTTATGGAGAATTCTCTTTTCAGGAAAATCCATATTCTTCTAATGAACATGTGGTATATTCAGTATAATCCAGTAACTCAAATGATTTCGCCAACAGTTTCAACATGCAGTTTTCTGTGGTGAGAATACACTAATTTTAACAAGCATATTTGTAACTCAAAGAAGTGCAAAACACCATGAATATATGAACATGTTAGATTACAATTGTAATCTTATGGTTCCTGAGAGGAAGTCCAAGAGTCCCTATGATTTTGAACTATTTTCTCTTACACCTGCAAAGACATAAGTCTACAAACAGATACAGTCTGCCCCAGGAAGCTTCCTCTGTGGGAGTGGTGCTTCTCCAACCACATAGAGGGCATAAAGGAGACGTTTTGAAACAAGTTAAGGGGGAGGGAGGGTTCTGAATCCATAGGATCCAGAGTTCTCCCATTCCCCTCCTGTGGATAAGAGGAAAACTGGATTGGAGCTTCTATAGTTCATTTTCTGTCTCATAGAGAACAGGGAGAAGGAATATTCTCTCCTTCCCCATGGCTATCCTCCATATCTTTTACCCTACTAGCCAAAATGTGATAGGGCACACAAAGTGAGAGTTTAGCCAGATTCTCTTTCTCCTGTTTGACTGTCCTCTGGTCTTCTACCAGAAATTAAAGAGCTTTCCAGAAGTCTCATGCACCACTGCTTACGGAGGATCGCAGTGGAGCCATAGAGATGAAAATGACCTGCCACTCAGGCCAGTCTCAAATAGTAATGGTGTTTTCTGTCATGTCATTGGAACATATATATATATATATACAGATAATTCTAGGGACAACTACCTGCAGTTATAGAGAAGGAAGAAGGGAATATACCTGAGAAAATGGAACAAAAGCAGACGTAATAGAAAATTTAGAGGGTGAAGGGTAAGAAACACAGGAGGGAAAACAGCTCCTCTTGACTTCTTAAAGTCATATTCTGAGGTGGCACAAAGCACAGTTGATCTAGGCATGGTACCAGAAATAAACCTATACAAAATTTAAAATAAACTACAGATAAGACTTACCTAGGATTAATTAAAATCTTTAGCACTGATTAAAACTGTCCATGGAAAGCAAATAGTAGAGCAAAAAGAAAGACACAAGCATCTTGGCAATCTGTATTTCAGAGAAAGATAAGAACAACTCCAGACACCTACCCTTTGATCGACAGGACTCAAACCTTGGGCAGTTTTCCCCTTCTTACTATGTTGCATGTTGTCACAATCATATTCTACTTCAGGTTTACTAAGATCTCGACAAAATGTACATATCCATTCTCCACTAGAACAGGAAAAAAATAACGAATACATACATTCAGGCCAAAAAGTACACCTTAGCTTGTAAAAATCTCCAAGCAGAACACTGGTATTTTTAATTGGTGTTAATCCAATTATGAAAATTATCAACATGTCTCTGTGAATGTTTCTCAGCACTGATACTATTTTACAATATTCATAACATTCAGCACTTGCAGTCTTACTCCATGGTCTACAGCATGATCGCCATCAACACTAGTATCTCAATCACTGTAGATTTTTTCCTCCTAGACACTAAGAAATTTACACCCAATGTCAGAAATCTTATAAATTCTGGCGTAACTTAAAAGTTCTGCCATCAAAAGTGCACCTGTCACGACATCCAAGCAACCAGCATTGCCTAATTAAATTGCATAATCAATCCTGCAGCTCCCATTTTGCCTACTGTGCGGAACACATGTAGAAATGCTTCATGAATAGCACTAGTTTTAGAATAGGTAGCCATGTTAGTCTGTATTAGCATATCAGACAAAAAGAAAAGAAAAAAGAAAAGAAGATGAAAATATTGTGTCACCTTAAAGACTTCCTCAGGTCTGAGGGAAGTGGACTTGACCATGAAAGCTCAAATTAAAATATAACAGTTAGTCTTTAAAGCACGACAATCTTTTTGTCTTCTTTATTTTTCACTTTTCTTTTCATTTTTCCTAATATGAATAGCACTGCCGCCATACTGCACTTTTCCTTAATGCTGCACTTTTGCTTTGTGCACATGGAGCTACACAACAGGATTTTAGCCAATTAATAAAAATGAAACAGAAACAATTATTGGGTTGTGAACCTGGTCATTAAAGTTTTGAGTTCCTCTAATGCCCCAGTTTACCGATTATTTCACCTCACCCAAGAGTCCTTCTGATATACTCGTACTTTGCTGTGTGCAATTTAACGCAACAACAGGGTCTGCTAGTTTCCCCACAGGACTGCAAGGTACAGTGGTGCTCGCAGCGTTTTCGCGACCTCGGTAAGCAAGGGGAGGGCGCGAAAACACTGACGGGCGCCATTTCGGGTCATCCAACGGCCATTTCGGCGGCTCCAAAATGGCCGCCTGACGCCCCAATCGTCGCAAAGCGAGTGCGGCGATTAGGGCAGCTCCGTATAGCGATCCCCAAAAAGGGATCGCTATACGGATTCTTCGTTGTACGGTGCACTCGTTAAGCAAGGCACCACTGTATATGTTTGGTGAGGCTGCCTGTTAATGGATGCCACTGATGGATACCTATGTTTGCAAATAACCATATTAAATAACCTTACCAAACTCAAGTTGTGTAGAACACTGCTATGTTTTCATACCTTGGAAAACTGAGGAGAGTGGGTACATGACATGTGAGGTGGAAAACCTTTGGGCACTTTTCACAACATAATAGATCTCCTCCATTTTGGCACACAGCACACCAGTCTTCATTAGGGTCATCATCTTTGTTGTTCCCTTCTCCTCCAGTCCTAGCAGATCGATGCATAAGGCTACGCACTGGAGATTTGCCATTTACAAGACCATGTCCAGACTGTTTGCAGCTTTCATTCAAGTCCGCTGGTTCAGTTTTTACATGGTTTTCTATACTTCCCAGTGTTTCTAACTCACTTTCCAGATGCAAGTTTGTAGAAAGTGGTGGTGTCAAGCTGCTCTCAGGACTGCTAAGCTAAAATAAAAGGATAAGAAGAAAAGCTAACTGAATTTCCCTGGATGGGGATCTCTCCTTCCATCTTTCCATCCATCAGGTCCTTGCTTCTCAGCCACTGCCTACATTTTTGACTACAGTATAACTAGACTCGCCATCATTTTTAGCCCCTGGTTGTTTTCACACACACCTCAGTTCTTTCAAAAGTTCATATTGACCTTTCCTCCATATCTGATTACTACAGACTGTAAACATTTGACGAGAATACATTTAGAAAAACCTGAAGTGAGGAGACGACCGTCAATCTTCAATATACTATGTACATATGAATGTACATGTGGGGGGCTCATTCCCCATTGGCTGGTAAGGGCTGAAGCATTTTGTAATAAGGGACTTATCCTAAACTGAGCAACGTGCTAGGAAACAAGTACCAATGATTCTGTTTAGCTCCTATGGAGATAGTACAGTAGAACCACAAGATCTGCACTCACTTTCACTCATCCACTGCCTGAAAATATTACCGTGTTTTCCCGAAAATGAGACAGGGTCTTATATTAGTTTTTGCTCCAAAAATGCATTAGGGCTTATTTTCGGGGATGTTTTATTTTTTTCATGTACAGTGCTGCCTCGACTTACAACCGTCCCGACATATGTCCATTTCGAGTTACGACCCGCTCCGGCTACAAAATTTTGCTTCAACTTGCAGCCGGAGCTTCGAGTTGCAATCAAAAGAGGCAAGGAAAAAAAGACGGGGAATTCAAATTACAGGGCTAACTGTTGGTTGGCGAAAAGCTTCTTTGTAGCTTTTTCTCCAACGGTTAGAGAGTGTGCGTCGGAGGAGGCTTCGGACTGCCTGGAGCTGCTTTCTGCTTCTGAGTAAGTACATTTACAGGGTTTTGCAGGGTGGGTTTGGGCTGTGGGGGGTTATGTTTCTGTGCTGTGATTTTTGTGTGTGTTTATTTTTTTTCAGCCCCAGTGCTTTCCGATGGGGCTTGCTGTGTTGTTAATATCTGATATTTTAAAAAAACCCGAGCCACGGAGCTTACTGTGTGCATTATTTTTGGGTTTTTAAGCCCCAGCAACCGAGCTTGCTGTGTGCTTTATTCATTTATTTTGGTTATTTTATTTTTTGGGGGCTGGAACGGATTAAACGTGTTCCAATGCATTTCAGTGGGAAATGGTGCTTAAACTTATTACCATTTCGATTTACGACCATCTTCTGGAATGGATTGTGGTCGTGAGTTGAGGCACTATTGTACAACACTCTACATTTTTTCAAATACAGTCACGTCAGGTTCCTGCATAGTGGTGCACAATGGTGGAGGGTGGGGTTTCACTTGTTGTTTAGTCGTTAAGTAGTGTCTGACTCTTCTTGACCCCATGGACCAGAGCATGCCAGGCCCTCCTGTCTTCCAGTGCCTCCCGGAGTTGGGTCAAGTTCATGTTGGTAGCTTCGATGACACTGTCCAACCATCTTGTCCTCTGTCATCCCCTTCTCATTTTGCCTTCACACTTTCCCAACATCAGGGTCTTTTCCAGGGAGTCTTTTCTTCTCAGGAGATGGCCAAAGTATTGGATCTTCAGCTTCAGGATCTGTCCTTCCAGTGAGCACTCAGGGTTGATTTCCTTCAGAATGGATAGGTTTGTTCTCCCTGCAGTCCAGGGGACTCTCAAGAGTCTTCTCCAGCACCACAATTCAAAGGCTTCAATTCTTTGGCTGTCAGCCTTCTTTATGGTCCAGATCTCACTTCCATACATCGCTACTGGAAAAACCATAGCTTAGACTATGTGGACCTTTGTTGGCAAGGTGATGTCTCTGCTTTTGAAGATGCTGTCTAGGTTTGTCATCACTTTCCTCCCAAGAAGCAGGAATCCCAAACCTCCATTTGCATATTGGAGGTTGCTGAAATTTTTCTGGCAGTCTTAATTCCGGTTTGGCATTCCTCCAGTCCAGCCTTTCGCATGATGTATTCTACATATAAGTTAAATAAGCAGGGGGACAATATACAGCC